TGAAAGGAATCTTTACAGCAAAGTGCTATTTAGGCTGACTAATAGAAGCTAATAGATACCATTGCGGCGAAGAGAAATTCAACGTCATAATAAGCACACTATCAATTAGCCGACAATAGCACGAATGTTTTACAGATTTTTTTGTTATTTTTCACAAAACAGCAAAGAGAAGTACACAGCATTTCATGGAAGAAAAAAAATTGGAAGAAAATTACCAATTCAAGAGGATGACGACACGAAATTACTGCATGAAATGACCGACAATATATACAGCAAAGTGTTGGCTTTTTTAAATTATCGTGTTGTTGTTTTGTAGCTTTAAAGTTATGTGTTTGCGAAGAACGAAGGGTCGTGAGGTTGAACATCCCCGATGAGATAATTAAAAACTGTATTCATCGAAGTTTTGAAAGATTCCAGCCGCACGCAACTGCGATGATTGAATAGTTGTATTATCTTCCAGAAACTTATACTGTCTAGTGCTATTGGTATAAACTTGACTGCGCTAAAAGTCGTTTGACTGACCCCGTATAATCTCATTCGAATGCTTCAAGGCTCTTACCAGCGGGAAAGAACATTAATAGGCTTACCTTTTCATCAGGTTAATATGCCAAAAATGGAACTAATCTGGTCCATTACCTCAATGGTAACATGGTGAGGAATAACAGTTGTCCAAACCCCGAACCCTGACGGCACTTTTAAGGGTATCTACTTTAAATTAAAAACAGCTCCCAGTAAGAATTCACTGAGTGGATTTGCTGGGTGGTAGGAAAACGGCAAACAGATTTAAATAGTGGGATTGGATCGTGACTTGCCACAAACAGTAAATCCAATCATTGATTTTTTTTAAATTTTGCTTTCAGCAAAAGCCGTGTGTTTGCTTTTCAAGGTAGCTTTTCAAGCGTTAGAGATATTTGAGATAACTTTCTGCATACTCGGTGAGTTAATTACTGAGGTTCAAGGTTAAACCATTTCGCCGGTCTCCAGAATATAGTGGGAAAGTGGTGAGAAAACAGATGCCGGGTTAAACTTGACATATTTACCGGCTGTTTGGCCATATTTTACAATGTGGTAGCGGCGTTCAACTTAGGAAACTTTTCTCCATGCGCCGGGAAAATGAAAAATGGCCGCTGCCCCCATGCTCGAAAATTTTATGCGGAAACTTCTGGCGCCGGAAATTTTTTACCTCGATTCGGCAACCTTTACGGAGAGAGGGTCGCTTACACAGCAGGTAGATACAATGTGTACAATCTCAACTTCGTGTAATGAAAATGATCCCAGATGAATTCGTTCTAGACAATTATTTGCACCTGTATCTGGGCAAAGTACAGTAGACAACAGTCGGCTTGTTGTCTTTTCCTCATGCACTGAGCATGATCGATCGCGTCCCGTTTTGAAAACAATCTAGAAAATTGATAGTTTTTGAGTTATGTGGCTAAAATTTCGGAGAATAGCGAGAAGTTTCATGGTCTTAGTCTAACGAACTGAAAAAATGGCTGGCCTTCAACTAATTTCCTGTTATCTGCGGTATAAGTGCTTACAAATATATATATAAATATACTACCACTGTCACTACGGAGCTAAATGCTACCTTACATTTTAGTAGCTGAACTTTCCTTTCCAGAAAGATTCGAATAAATTTTTTAATAAAAATTCCAATAAATAAACTCAAGCCAAATAAAACAGCTGCGGAAAGTTATCTTGCGATGGTACACACAGGCGTTTCTAGTTAGTTGAAGGTAATTTAAGTCTCAAGCTTTTGTGGCCCTATGAATTTCGCCGCATGAATCAGGGTATGAAGAAATGTTTGATAAATCAGTCTTGTTAAATCTAAACTTCCTTCAAGTACAGAACCGTGCTTTTTGTAGATCACATTTTTTTATAATGTTCCTCTAAATAAGGGTAGTCGACTGCACTATAGCCAAGCATTGGTCGGATTTAAAACGTGACAAAGGTTTTAAGGTTTTACACCGGCTATCGAACTGAAACGAATAGCAACCTGTGATTTTGGGCCAGTTTATATAATACTGGGCCGAGTTGTTCAAAGCTGGGTTAAGATAACTCAGGGTTAGAGCAAAATTTGAATTCAGATTTGAAAACTTAAAAAGCATTTCAGTTTTAATTCTTTTTGTCTACAAGTTGATGATTGGAAGCTCTAAAAATAAGAGACAAAATTATCCAGGAAAATGCTTTTGAACACAAGAAAAGGAAACCCGGGTTAAATTTAACCCTGGGTTAAGCGCTAATCGGCCTTCGAACAACTGGGCCCTGATGTTTAGTGACTTTTTAATCCCTTGATTCTGTAGATTAATCAAGGAACAATTTACACCCTCTCAAGAACCTCCGCCATATTGTTCCGGTATTAGCTTGCCACGCGACATTTTCCTTTCCACAATTAGCTTCCCGAAGCCTCGGGAGAAGGAAAATAAAGAGATATTTTACTTAAGGAAGATGAATTTCCGCCATAAAGGCAAAGGAAATTATTACTGACAAGAAATATTGCACAGTTCTGGGGGTATATAACAGTTAACCCAAACAAAGCATCCAAGGCAGTCACTATGCTCGTCATGTGTGTTTTGGAAAAATCTTGTTGGCGTTTCACAAGAAGGATACTGAATCTTCCTTAATTACTTTACTTAACTGATCAATCCTATCATTAAACGAGCCTCGAATGTTTTAAGTAGAGCGTAAGTAAAGTGCTGGTCTATTTAAAAGGAAGTACTTTGTGAAGCAGCAGTTCCTTTGTAATCGGAAGGCTGAGAGTCGGGCCATTCGAATCCGCAAAAGAGCCGCGCATCCCTGTGCTAACCTGTTTACTGTTATGTCTCAGTTTCATAAAAGGTCAGGGTTACTTTCTGGTGCTGTAGTCTGAGTATAATAATCCTTAATATGATAGGTGTGACCATTTATATCATTGGATGATACAATTACTTTCCCGCAGTGTACCCGCTGTTTATGGCTTTCTTAAAGAACGGTTGTTCAGGATGGAAAATTGGGGTCAGATATTGAATCGTTAACTAAATGGTGAGGCTTCTTATGTAGTTACTTTTCATAAGGCTACTCCGGCTTTAGCGATGTGCCCTTAATAGCTGATTTGTAGATAATTTTCTTGTTATTGACTTCATTTTTTCATGAGGTATAGGTGTGGCTAGATACTTGGGGGTGAGGGGTGGGATTGGTTTTGGTGGTTTAAACTTGTAGGTGACTTCGTGTTCTATTGTTTTTCTACCTGGTATATGTTATGTATACTAGATCAGTATATAAACATATAAATAACTAAAACATTTATCGATCATGAATCAGGTAATACAAGTAAAAAAATTTGGAAAGGACTATGATAACATTTTAATAAAGTGCGAGACGGTAAGTTGGGTTTGCTTTGGATTGCGCATGCGCTCCTATTCGTAATTAATTTCCTCCTGCAAAGGGCCATGACAATGAGCAATCAGTTGCGCTACCGATCAATTTCGATTCTCATTGGTCACGCCAAGTGTTTTTTCCCTCAGTGGTGCGACATAATCCCGGGATATAGTACCGAATAACTCCTACATTGTCTGATAGCGGGCATCCATGAGTCTTCAATCCCTCCATTCTATTGTCCAACTCGGGGGAAGGGGGTTACTTGAATCAATTTTTGCTGGGTATGTGAAGCTGACCTCTTAGAGCCCCTACCCCATTATAGTCTATTCTGTCGCCAATTATAGACCCCAACTTCGCGATACCAGCCAAGTCACTTTCAGTTTTTTACCGCGCATTTTCCCATTTTTAAGAATTTTCTTACCCCAATAATTCGGAAAAGGGAAGGGGGAGGGGGAATATTTTTGACTATTAAAAATGGAACCCCATTATAGTCAATCCAAGTCTTGAAAATGCGACTCCATCCAGCAGCACATTTCCAGTAGCCTATTACGAGGAAGTATACCTCTAGGTTGTCCCAGTTGAGGTGACGTGTTACATGGATGGCCTCTTTAAGAGCATTCTCGGTTCGTATACAAAAAGGAAAGGATTCAGTTTGTGCCCCACGCGTAGACACTTGTTACTACAGCTTTGTCTCATTATGGATTCTCTTGGTGGGGTAAGCTTACAAGCGTGCCGTGCATCGAGATAAGGTCAAAGACTTCCGTTGTATAAATTAGTGCTTGGTAAAAGCCACACAGAGACACCATTTGATTGTTCGTAAGGTCACCAATGTCATGACCACGGACAGTCAAAATATATATGATTTGCCAAGGTAATGTGGAAGTTGGAACATGAATAACAACAACAAACGCATAACTCAGTTGAAGTACAAAGTCTGGAATAATTTTCTTTAACTTTAAATGTCTATTCACAGTATATTACAAGATGATAAATATGGTCAGGAGAGAATAATGGCATAGAGAAAGAGACGTCCAGTCAAACCTTTGGGATATGTGAATTTCTCCAAAGTTATTTTTAGACCAATTGAATGCTTGAAATTAATCGGAAGTTGGCTCCCGGAGAGGTCCGCAAACTCTTACTCAGTGTTGTCAAGAGAGAATTCAACAGTCGCTATTACATTGTTCTGTTTGTTGTTTTTTTTTTTGCTTTAAGGCAGTCGCGAGTGGGCTTCATGACGTTTCAAACAATCGATTAAAATTTACAGACTTCTAAGGCGAATTAGACTTCCGATTTATTACAACCTGTAGAAATAACTTTAGTGAAATTCAGACATCCCGGCCAACGCCCTAGTATTCCCTCTCTGTCTCATTATTGGTATGGTCAGGAGCCTGTTACTCCTATTATTAGGAGCCTATTACTCCTGTCCTGGTATGGTACAATCTTCTCGTACCTTTGAAAGTTTTTAAGTTTTGATCACAGCCAGCCTTGATATTGAATAACTATAACCCAAACAAACTTTCGAAGGCTTAGGGACACCTCTATCTATAATACGTACAAATTTCTTTTTATCCAGCGAGCAAGCCCCCAGGGGGAGGGAAGTGGGGTAACGGAGAAAAAACCGCCGCCTTAGAGCTCCCCAGCGAGCCTTGTAGCAGGCTAATTTCTATTATGGACATTTCTCCTCATCAAAAAGACACCAAACTAAATGCAATTCTAACTTCTACAAAACGGACACCTCTGTAATGCGGACACTTGGTTCTGTCCCTTCGGTGTCCGTATTAGAAAGTATTACTGTATCTCATGCGGGAAATAGCGCGATTTTCAACGTAACGTAACGTAAAACGAAACGTAACAGTAAAACAGGACTAGCCAATCACAACGTGGAACACATGCAGACCAATGTCAAACTGATACGAACTTGATAACAATATAAGCACGGAAAAACAAATATTTCTCTTTTGATAAGCTGAAAAAGTGACGCAGGGTTCTAGCCAACCAGAAACAAATAAAAAATAATTATATCTGCTGAAGATTGGCTGCACTGCCCTTTGCAGGTCAGACATTTAGATTTTTAATTGATTACGAGTGACTGTGGCCTTTCCAACTGAAATTTTCCTCCAGGCTCTACATGTATGTCAATAATTTCTGATCCTTCATTCTATTTCACCAGACAACTAGTTTTCAGTACTCCTCTCTAAATATTATATGCAATTTTCATGATTCAACAGAATCATATAAAACATGAAGTGAACTAAAATAAGCCACCAGTTTAGGCCCTTTCCATTGTTTCCTTATTTTCGGTTTTATGTTACGTCACTTAGTCATTATTTGAATGCAGTTGAACGAAAGTATTTTAGCGCGCGAATACTAGACCAGGAGAACATAAAGGAACCAGCGAGTTAATCCCCCACATAGGTCCTATACCCATCGTAACCCCTCTAAAGTTATTTTTGGAACGTATCGGTTTTCCCCCGGATAATGCATCCTTGCGCTTTGTGTGGACGTTTTGTGGAGGAGTGAATAGTGCAAAAAACTCGTCGGGAGTGGGGGACTGTATGTTCTCTTGACTAGACTTAATCCACATCCACATCTTGTTCAGAATCTTTGTTTTCCTTGCCCTCCGTCACATGTTCAGTCACGTGTTCTGATTGCTCGTCTTCTGCCTCAGTGAGCTCGGTTTCTGTATCGTTGCTGCAGCATTCTGATATTCCGCCATGCCTTTCTCGCTTCGCCTTCGCTCGGCGGTTTTGAAACCAAACCTAGGAAGTGTTGGAAAATGGTTGAGCTCTGTCGACGTTAAAACTATTTGACTCTAGTCGAGATCTCTTTAATTTCCCCTTTTCACTATTTCCTATACAACTTGACTTTATCTTATTTAATTCCATCACACCTACATTTTCTCAATTGTTCTTTATCTTACTTTTAAAAACTTTCTTGACTTCGCTTTACCTGACATGACTTCTCTATTTTAAAAGACTGCTCAGGAAAACAGGTAAATTCCTGATTCGTATCCAGTCGCCACTTAATCTCGCAAAGGAATATGGAAAGGAAGATCGACGCGCGCAATGGCGTTTGCGAAGAAGAGTTTTTCTTCATTCCCTTAATGCACCGCGAACTCGCTAAATCTTTCCCATTAATCACAGCGCGAATAAAAAGAAGCGACTTGGTACGAGTCAGCTCTTTTATGAATGCAAAAACGAAGATTACCTGTACTCGCGAGTCCCTCAGACCGAGTCTTAACGCAAGAGTCTTCTTAAACACGCTGGTCGGGTACGGATTGAGAGAGAACGCACGCTCAAGCTCATCAATTTGCCATCTTTTGTAAGTGGTTCGGTTTCGTCTGCCAGTTTTGTCGAGACAGAAATCTAGATACAAGTTAAAAAGAGAATTAAAATCTTGGCTTCTCTTCTATAGTGATAAAGGAAAAGAAAAGACACGAAATGTGCCCTGCCCCCCTCACATACACACACACAGTTGCACTGTAATAAGGCCTGTCAATAAACTGGGAAGAGCAAGAATTTCACCAAATGAGGGAAATGTCTTGACTTTTTAGGTCAGTTTAAATGAAGAAGTCACTGCCACTATGAGAATCAGTCGTGATATTAGCAACAAGAGCTTCTCCGGTATAGGTTTAAACATTCCAGCAAAGAAATAATTGTATTAAACTAATAGCCCAACGACGAATAGATAAAGTCAGCAAGAGCATGTGACTTTCACGACAAATATCGTTACTAGCGATATTTTTAGTTTATGAAAGCTTGTTTCCGTTTCATTTTCGCTGATTTTTGTACACAGGTTGAAATGCTTGCAATGGTTCTGACAAACCAGGGTAAAATATAAAGAAACGATGCTCTTCTCATCCAATCAGGAACAAGACTACATCGACCTCTATATGTGCGTCTTTCCTAACTATACTGCTAGCTCTACTGAATGTTTTCCCGCCCTTGCGGTTGAATATTTTCCCGTACTTTCGTCGTCAGTCTTTTAGCCAGTAAGGAACAAGACCACGTCGACATCTATATGTGCGTCTCTCCTAACTATTCTAGTAGTACTTCTTAATATTTTCCTGCCCTTGCGTGCCGTTAAATCTTTTCCCGCAATTGCGACTGAATATTTACCAGAGCTAGCTTCAGGATGCATGCCCTTCGACTTACTTCGTTTAATTAAATGTTCTCGCGTTCTCTTGGACCTGCTGTTATATTTTCCCGCGCTCAACATCAGGCTGGAGCCGAAATGCGTCCCGCAATTCATGTTTGTGGGATCGTTACTGGGGACGCGCCTGTCGGCTATTGGCCAATTTTTTTTCCCAGTCCCTTGCAACAGTCCCAGAAGTCTTTGCGGAGGTTAACTCGACCCAGTTTCCTTTCTAAAGTGGCGAATTGGTTTTGCTGTTAACCGGATTTTGCTAAAAAAAAAGTTAAGCCATGCAATTACACGTTTATGGAAACTAAAAGATAAGCCAACAAATGTCATCTCGCAAAAGGTATTATTTACTCGTATAGACACATCTTCGTTTATACAGCGCAACAGAATGCCTTTGTTTAACCTCAGCTGGACACGTGTGAATACTTCAGGAAAGGTGATAAAACATACTGTCTGAAAGTGTCATAGAAAAATGATGTCTTTTAACCTAACATAGTAAAATCATTTATTATAGCCATTCTTGCCTTTGTTCATTTATTAAACTGCACACAGAGCAAAATCGCCAATTATTAAAGGGAAAAACTAGTTCGTCTTGTGTTTAATTAGCCGATCTGGAATGATTAGTGAAAATATTAAAGAATAGATAGGTTGAATTCATGCTCTTTTAACGATGACATTTGAACAAAAGGACTGAAAAAGCATAACATAAGGATAGAATCTATCTTATGTAGCCCTTATGTATCTCATTCTATAGCTTTTAGTTTTAACCCTTCACTTTAAGACCAGTAATGCCGACTGGCTAGAGAATTTGTCATTTTAACTTTTTTAAATCAATGGACCAAATCCTCTGGTGTTACCATTCAAATGAAACCTCTTTTCCAGAACTTTTGAATAGTAATATTTATTTGTCAAGATATTTTAAAAAGAAATTTTGATGATTTTTTTGTAAAATTTTTCTTTGGCCTCTAACATTTCCTCATTATTCCTTATGTTTTTATGAGAAACAACAGCTCAATTTACGAGTACACAAAGAGCAACCCGGTTAAATTTAGATAAATTGCGGGATATCTATTGTCCCATTTCTAGTATCTTATTCTCTATAGAAATTCAAGTTTAGCTGTTATTTCCAACCGGGTTGTACATCTTCCAATTTAAACGCCAGCGCACACTTTCAAATATTTGAAATTCCTAGTTTCTCCCTCATTCTTCATTCTTTCACTTTTATTTCACTTTATTTTATTTTGTCGCGAAGCCCATACTGTGGACATACCTACAAAACTAAAGAACAATACGCTTTCAAACAGTGACCTTTACCTACACCATTAACGGTAATCAAAGACGAGACTTACTCCTTTTGTTATTCTATACTGGACAAAAAAATCAATAACCAGGAACTTTGTGGGACTTTTGCGGAGTCGCATGACTTTTGATGTTTAGTATTATTATTATTATTATTATTATTTTTATTATTATTATTATTGCTATTCACAGTATCAGTTTCAGGATATATATAGACAAATAACGCCCTTTCTTGAAATATGGTCGAAATCAGTTGAAACAATGCCCATGATATCTATGAGATTTCAAATGAATACTTTGTACACGCTTTAGCCTCCATTAGGAAACTATGAAATAAATCTCAATTCTACCTCAGAAGAATTCTATGGAAAAATATAATCGCTTTTGTCCTAAAGTGTACTCCAAATATTAAGAAGGATACAGAGGAGGATAAAAGCGTGAGGAAAAAGAGAAACCGTGCACAAAGAAATAGATTCCGAAGCCTAAATTGTTAGACTTAAATTATCTTTTATTTTCAAGCTTTTCCGGATAGTTTTTTATGCAGTTTCACGGGAGTTTCCCGGTCATTTACGACTCTAGTTGAATTCAATGTATGCCAACGAGTTACACGTTTAGTATGACTGGTTGAGATGCAATGTTAACAGCGGCACTTTGTATATTATTTTTATGATTCTATCCCTCCAGTTTGAAAATTAGCTCGGTGGTCTAGGCGTTTGCTTACAGTATCAGTATATTGAAAAACGTGATGCTTAAACATTTTCAACAGAAAAAAAATGTGAAGATTTTAGAGCAAAATTTCGATCAAACGATGTAGCAAGACTAGTCAGTTTAACCATGATTATTTCTTCCCAGTGGTTTCGGCAATGCCACTTAACACTTTATTAATCGTCAAGTTGCGGGGCTTATTACAACTGCTATAGCTATATCTGAACGATCTCAAGTCGATGGTTTATACCCCGACAAATTAAACACGTTTATTCTGGAGCTAGGAAGGAGCGATAATGAGGTAATTAAGAAATACTTGGTTGGTGTGAATTTTTGTATCAAGGTTGATATTAAGATTTGGCTTTTGTGTATTTTTCGAAACAAGAATGGATTCGAGGTGCGGGCCTGATGTTTTCTCAACCTGTCAGCTGCACAAAGCTCGAGCTACCAAGAGATCATTTCCAAGTTAATTACCTTGAATTTTATGTCAAAATCAATTTGTGAAAGAGTGGCATATTGGAAAACATTGATATTCAATGAAGGGCTTCGTTGATATTTCTGATCGTTGGTCACCCTGATTTTCATGCCTCTGAAATGAATGTGAAATGAACACTATCAATTATATGACGCATTCGCCAGGCTATTGTTTAAAACCCAGTTGTCCCCATTAGTTTAACTGAACATTTGCGCTCAAAAACGCACCAAAAACCACTTAAAGACAAAATTTTTATTTCGCTGAGATCAAACAGAAGAAAAAAAAGATTAAACAAAAAAAGCCATAAAAATTGAGAAGTTGAGATTTGCCTCAGTAATGCATTTTACTAATTTTTCATTCGCTAATAAGACTCATTAGTATAAACAATATTTTATTAGCAGAAAACAGGGCAAGTTAATAATGCGCATAAAATACCGTTTAATAGTTTATAAGGACTTACTTGCATGGAAATCAGTAAAAGCAGAAAATATGTTTTACTCTAATATTGTTAAAAATAATTGAAAAGAGAAAAAAACGCAGTGCGTGCGCTTCGCAACTGCCTCAAGAATGATTCAAGCGACATTAAATAAATCGGTGTAAAAGACGCCAGTTATCTCAGAAGTGTGGATAAAAGTAAGCTTTAATCAGGGCTCGCATTAGTGGTTGAAGGGAAGAACACTTGGCTATTAAATTCACCCGAAATTAGTCGGTTATGAACCGGATTAGATGGACACAAAAGAGCCTGAGTGGAATAGAAAATCTCAGCTCATTATTAATTCGATCTTGCTATTGTGATTTTTAAAAGCGAAAAACCTACAAAACAAAACCCATTTGGAGAGGAAAAGATTATCCCCTGCGTTATAAACCATCTGCCTTTTTGACTACAAGGAAAATTGACATTTAAACACTCTCGAATACAAATTGCTTTGGCCGTGCGATATGTAATTATATTTTTTTCTACAGTGGTAAAAACTGAGTGGCCAATACTACAATTAACCTCAGTTGCATCTTTCGACCAAATCAAAGCAAACTTTGCTTCATTTTCGCAAATAAAATCCGCACTGCTCACTCTAACCGTAAAAATCAAACAAAACAGGGAGAAAGTAACCCCTAATGCTGTTGTTTTAATTACTTTTTAAAATAAAAATCCATCAATTGCATATCACATCTCACTTGGTTACTGATGCGCTTACATCTAAACTTTACACAAAAAACAGAACATGAAAGGCTCGATATTGGAAACTCTGAGAAAATAAGCCTTATAAACACTGCGACAAGCCTTTAAATTGCGCTAAATACTAGGTTATGATGAAAACCGGATGTTAAGAACTCTAAAGCGCGATAAAGACATCAATCAGTTGGTGGGGTGTTGGTCAAGGTTACTAAAATCCCAAAGGTGCATTACGTTTAGGAAAATCTTTGTACTGAATAGTCATTGATACATACCGTTTTTCAGATCGTCAAGATCCCTGCTTCGTCCTTCTCTGTCCGATTCCGATAAGTTGCGAGCCTCCGTGTCGACAATTTGAACTCGACTCCTTTCACAGTAACACTCACAGGTGCATCGCGGAATGCTGACCACTTGGTAAGGTGATACAGCTCCGTATCTCATGCCTGTAAGGCGATACGGGTGATGCTGGGGGGAATACAGGTAGTGATGCTTCAAGAGATCCATGTTGTGTTGTGATGAAGCTCGCGTCGTGAAGTTAAATTAACTGGCTAACCAGTCGATACAAATATAGAGGGCGAGTTTACAAAGCTGTTCAATTGTGTGCTGAATACCCGCAACCCTTAATTGAGCTAGGTGTGAAAGGTACCCGTCAGCCAATACCGACCATGGGTGTCAAAAGCTTCCCTGCGCGCCTTTGTTGTAATTCACAAAAAAGGATCTTGAGTGAAGAGAGGAGCGTGACATTCTGTTACCATGGAGACCAGGAAACCACAGCATTTTGCCGGGATTTCTTCAAGCGTAGGTCTCAGTCATTGAAAAAGCAGATAATCTGTTAATATATAATTTGTTAATAAACAAAAATCGTAAGTGTTCAAAAGACCGGATATCGAGGTGAATTCACAGCTTTCACTCACTGGAGTCATCCCTTAAAGACTTAACTTTGCCTCCTGTTGAAGGGTATTTTCTCGAATCAAGTATAGCGGAAGGCAACTTTAAAAGAGTTCTTTTATAAATACGGAGTTCATTTAGCTAGAAACTTTAAAATCTTTGGATAACCTAAGTTAAAACTAATAGTGTTAACAAAAAAGTTTATTAAATTTTTAAGCCGATAAGTTCTCAAGGGCTGTTGTGTTTTCCAATACCTGGACTGATTTTTATGCCAAATACGGTGAAGAAACACAATGCTCAGCTTCACAGTGATTTAAGATCCAAAAGGTCTGATGAACACAGTAATTGTCTTATTTTCTATTTTTCCTGGACGAAACGTGAAAAGAGGTTAATGAGTTATTTCAAACAAAGCTAACTTCTCTGTCCGATATAATCTACAATATCTGATGGTTTATTAAATTATTCATCAACTCGATCTTTATGCAGCTCGTTAAACTAAAATTGTCGAGGAAGGCTCTTCAAGCCAACACCTTTTTGAAAAGGCAGGCTTGTTTCTCGAAGCGCCTATTTTCTTTTAGAATAATCAGATTTTACATCTCTTCTTAAAACAATTTTTTCGCGTGGCTTTCTAGAACTTAGCCTATTCTTCTTCTCTTCAAGTTCTAAGAAGGAAGAAGTCTGAAAACGTTTCTGGTTGTATAAATGTAGATTGATAAGCCTTATATACCTCGTGTATTTATACTGTGAATTTAAGAAAACAAATGCAATGAGTAATCTCAGATTGGTTTTTGCTGAGTATCGAGAATTGTTCATAAATTTGCAGTCGCGACTGAGGAATTGCCTTTCCTCCCTCTTGTTGCGGTAATATATCCGTTGAGTAAAACAAAGTAATGGTTTGCAATAAACACACAACTTAAAGTCCCTTTGAATTCTCACTCGTCGATGTCAAACTCTTAGGGTCGCTTCCAGAACTCGTGAAAGACTCAATTATACTTCCTAGAACACTCGACTGACAGGCTTTTAACATCGTGAAGTCGATCGCGCACTATAGAAGCTTAAAGGCAATAACGTAAGTGATATGGCAACGAAGTATTCATACCAGCTCATTATGAAAAGATTTTCTTGGCTTCAGTAAACATCTACCTAGACATTAATGATCTACTGTATGCTTAAAGCTGATTAGAACAGAGTTGTTTTCGGATTGCATTAACATATAAAACAAAGCAAATCTTTTATTGATGTTCGGCTTTGAAATACGCCACATTAATTGCTCCTTTCATTCGGGTTAACAGAGCGCCTGTTGTTTTTCATCATTTCATTTGTGCTTATTTGCTAATAAAAAAATGAATTTTGTCTAGGTAACGTAAAGGCTAGTTCGCCATTACAGCGATCATTATATGTGCGCGTCTAATGCGAGACATTTAACTGTTAAAAGATCTGTAGTCCCACTTTCCATGATACAACAATAAGACGCGAGCTCATCTGAACAGTAAGAATTAATATTTTAATATTCATGATGATTGCTAGTCCAAATAAAAGTCATAATAAAGAGATTGACTCTTTGTTAATCCCAAGCAAAAAATCCGTTCATCAGTAAAAGAGTCGCAGTTAGCTTTTTTCACCGAACTTAGAAAAAGCTGTTTCATAATGAAACTTATATGTACTAATTTATTTAATGTGCCCCCAAACAAGGTCTATATAATTCAAGGGCTATGCGTTGTTTCGCTCTGATTCAAGACTTCCTTTTAAAAAAGATCCTACAAGGAAAGGGGAAGATGCTACAATAATTCATCGACCTACAGTTAAGATTAAAATAATAATTAAAAAAAAAATTAAAAAAGAAGCATGTGGTAGTGTTCGTAAAACTTTCGATTTTAGAGGCTCAGCGACTAAGAAATATATAGAACTGAAACATCACGGTGCAAATTGTCTTAATTGTGCCGAACATTAGCGAACAATTGCCGTTGATTTACGTCTGGTTTCCAGCTCCCTCTCGATCACCTGAGCCGCCTCGAACTGTCCTCAAGCGATCGTGATGAGGCGATCATCCGGACCATCGATTTCACGCAATCGCTTTCGCCTGGATAGAAGTGACGTTTACATAGCAGTGCTGGTTTTCAGATAATCGCTCGGACCGTCCTGAATAATCAAGGCGACCGGACTTGAACAATTGCAAAGGAACCATGTGTGGCGTAGAAAACACTCGCTTATCGATTGACTGCAAACCAGAATTGTGAGTCCGCGAGAATGAGCACCGCTGCTCCCAAAACCTTGTTTTCATTGCAACCGCTGGTCACGGGCTCCTGGTTTTGGTCGATGTAATCTAGTTGCTACAGTGTGGCGTTGTAAGACAGTCAAAACTCCTCCCTGTAAAAAGTCTTAGCATCACACACTGACAAAAATACTGACTGCGTGTGTTTAAAAAATTTCACAAATTGAAACCTCTTAATTCTTGGAAATACTGCGGCTAGAATGATCGACATCATTAAGTCCATTAACCGTCCATTAATTAACTAACATTAACTGACATTTAAAAACCTAAGTGCTATAGTTCCTGCGGACCTTGAGACTAGAGTTGTCACACAAGTATATAAGCAGTAATAGTGGTACAATGACCTCCAATAAAAAAGCCTACTACGCAAATAATTATCAGGCCCTAGTTGTTCAAAAGCTGGATAGCGCTATCCACTTTTTCAACAACTGGGGCCCGGTTGGACAAGGAGTGTTTTAAGTGCATAGAGGATTATTTAGTATCCCATGATGCAACACGGAAAAAATTACGACTGAATTGTCTAACCGAATTGTTCACGTGACCCGGCTTTCAATATCCAATGTTTTATGTTAACAGTCAAGTTTGAAAACAGAACTCAGTCGAGCAAAATCCATCTATATTATTGGTTGTATTGCCAGGTACAAACTGAACTACTTCGAGCTCAACTTTTCATTCAAAGCTATTAACAAAAACTGCCTTTTCAATAGAGGCTTGATCGTACAAATCGGTGTTCGGAAATCCAACGTCCGAACATTATTTGAGTTCGATTACCGAATTCAATCGAAATCAATCCAAGGATTGAGAACGGATAGAGTTTGATTGAACTGATCGATTCCGTTCCGAATTGCCTAACACGGGCACTCTAATGTTTCAACGATCCACTTCAAATAACAGTACAGGGAACTGGCCGCTGTTGACGGTTGTTTTGTTATTGTCTGTTTTTTCTTCAGTGTTCTCAAACGTAAAGGTTACCCCAAAGCATTCAACAGTGCTTTTTCCTTTCTCTCCAACCCACGAAGGGCTACCGTTAACAAGAGAGACCACCTCATAACAGATATTTTGCTTGATAGGTACCGCATCATCAAACAAAACAGTAAAGCCATAGTAATTAGTAATCTCTTGATGTTTTTCTTCTGAACTGAACACCTCTGATTTGTTTGCGATACAGGAACCACTTACAGTATCGATCAATTGAGTTCTGACCGTGTAGGTGCGTCCCTCGCGGCCAAAATGCTCCACTCCACTTAAATGAATGTCCTTGTTCACTGTAAAACAGATGCGGTCGCTTATTTTCCTCCTGTACACCCAACGACTGCTCTCCGGTTCTCCAAAAGAAAGAAATCGATGACAAGTACAGACGCGCCTCGTCCTTGGAGATGTCGAGAATTGCAAAGGAGAAGTTAACATACTGTTATAGTGTTTCATCAAGACAAAAATTTCCTTCGTTGTCAAAATGTTGTTTGGAACAACGGAAAGAAACTCCTTCTGTGACATCAGTGGGAAGCGTATGGCGTTCAATAATTCCTGTCCAATAATTCTTCTTTTTGTTTCACCATCAGGATTTAGACCTTGTCTTTTGATTTCTTGCGTTGCCCACCGATCAACAGCCTTGAACAGTTCCGCTTCATTCACGTTCAATACTTCCTTCTTCACAACACATTCAACGAGAGACCGGTCAAGCGTGACAAATTCATCTGACGTCACAGCTTCCTCTGTATGCTCCCCGATCACTTTCCAGCATCGGCTTTCCAAATCTTGATCCTCAAATTTCTTTGCGTGAGGCAGAATTGAAAACACATTAGATGCCTCCAGGTTTTCTTGAAGATACGCACCGCACTTATCAGCGAGCGAAGGAAGCATATATTTCTTTGCCAAGTACAGAACCTGCATCACATTACTTCCGGTTAAGTTCACTTCATCGGTGTACAAATAACGAAACAACTCCAACAGACTCTCGTACTCACAGTCGGGCAGTTCAATAGAGTTTTTAGTTTCCGCCATTTCACCAAAGAACATAGCATAGAATACCGGACTGCCGATTGCAAGAACAAACTTGTGAGCTGGAATCATCTTCCGGGTTCCACTTTCGCAATTCGACGCAGGAACGATAAACTTCACATCGCTTAACAACTCGTTGTTAAAGATGAACGTTGTTCTTTCGCCGATCGTCAGACATTTCGTTTGCCAGTGATCATCGGCCATTTTTCACATTTATTGGTTGACGGGACAGAGAAAACTAACACAGTGCAGTGTGATGTCTTATACAAAACGTAGCTTTGGTACGGTTGGTCACGTGATTGGATAGGTCACCCACCACAAGAATTTATGCACAGGACACAACAAATGGGGCTGGTATACCTGTGGTAATACTAAAATAATTTGTAATCACTTGCTTTGGCGTTAATAGGAAAAAGGATGGACTTGGCTTTCTTTGTCCCACGTCATCTTGTATATTGAAACCATTTTCAAACGGTAATCTATAGGTTTAGGTCATATAAAGCAAGACTTCCCCTCAACAGGTCAAGCACAAATATTCAGAAAAATGAACTTCACTCTTAAAAAAACCCATACTTTCCTGTAATAATAAATACTATCAACAAAAAGGATAAGCTCACATGTATTTTAAAATAACTTTCCTATTGTGAACAAATGTATTTTCTCGCGTTAAGGAATGCACGTTGCTTCAGTGCTTTGCATACGGATGTGTTGGTATTTGTCGCGTGAGTTATTTTGACAGTGCGTGATTATTTGTTATCAGGTATATGAGCTGTTCTTTGCAGATTCAAGGTCACTTGACGGGTAGAGAGCGATGGCAAGACATTTAAAAGAACATAAACAATAGAAAAAACAATAATATAAATTAGAAAGTCTTTCCAATAATGGTCTAACATGTAATAACACATTATTGTTAGCTTACGTCTTCGTTAGCTATACTTTGTAGTATGTTTATTCATGTATTTTGCCCGTGTTCTAGCTATCAATAAACGAGATGCCTATTCCTGATTGTTGTCTGCGTTTCATGGTTTCTAGAGTGAAAATGATTTGTTCTCGTTTCACTGCAGAGTGATTAGAGAACAATGACGTTTTTTGTACAACTGCACAATAACTTGGCTTGATGAAACATTTTACGTTTTTTATGTGCTTATACCTTCCATGAAAAAATTTATAGCTTTAAGAGATGTTACCGTAAAATTCCGAAAATAGGCCCCTCCATGTAAAAGCCCCTACAACTATAAGCCCCTCAAAATCGTAATGCAAAAAACCCTCCGTTAAATCGCCCCTCCGAATATAAGCCACCGGGGGGTTTGTACTTGGAATTTGCCCTCGAATACAAAGTCAAACAATGCAAAAATGGTATATTCCTTCCCTCTACAATCTAGCCTAATCGATTTTGAAAAGCAAATTTCCCTTCGTACATAAGCCCCTCCAAAAATAAGCCCCTCAAAAAGGGCCTTTGAAAAATATAAGCCCCGGGGCTTATTTTCGGAATTTTATGGTATGTCAAGCTAACTTACATCTATCTTTTATTTTTACATACATTTTTATTTTTTTTATACTCTAATATCTTAAATGATTCCATGATCATTCTATACTAATAAGCAGAGTGATCCACCAAATCCAGTGTAAAATGAAATTTAAAAAATATTATATTGTAAATTTAGGTTACTATAAATATGATATTGTAAGTTCTCACCTGCACCTGCAGCCATTGAATAAAACAATCCACTCATTGTCACCTGAGCCTGCGAGAATGAGTACCCCTTCTGCCAAAACCTTGTTTTCACTGCACACGCGCTGGTCACCGAATTTAGTTCAGGTCAATGTGATCTAGTTACTATGTACAGTGTGGCGATGTAAGACAGTCTACACTCTTCCCAGTAAAGTCACACACTGACAAAGATACTGACTGAAGGAGTTTTAAAAATGTCGCAATTTAAACCTTTAATTCTTGGAAATACTGCCAGAATAATCGATATCATTAAGTCCTTTAACCGGTCATAAACATTTAAAAAATTATTCCTGCGGACCTTGAGACTAGAGTTGTCATACAAGTATATAAACAGTAATAGTTGTACAATGACCTACAATAAAAAGGCCTACCGCGCAAATACTTATCAGGTTAGACCAGGAGGTGTTTTAAGTGCAACAAAGAGGATTTTTTAGAATCCCATGATGCAACGCAGAAAAACTACAACTAAATCGTCAAACCGAATTGTTCACCTGACCCGGCCATCAATGTCTTATAATCCAATGTTTAATGTTTGCAGTCAAGTTTGAAAACAGAAGTCAGTCGCGCAAAGTCTCTCCATATTATGGGTTGTATTGCCGGGTACAAACTGAACTACTTCGACCTCAACTTTTCGTCCAAAGTATGAATTAAGTAAATAGAGCTTCCATAAAGAAAAAATGCCTTTTCAACAGAGGCTTGATTGTACAAATCGGTAGTTCGGAGATAGAACGTCCAAATTTTATTTGAGTGCGATAATGTTCGATTACCGAATTCAATCGAAATCAATGCACGGATTAAGAACGGATAGACTTTGATTGAACTGATCGGTTCAAATCATTTCCAGATTGCCTAGCACGAGCACTGTATTGTTTCAAGGATCCACTTCAAATAACAGTAGAGGGAAAATGGCCCCTATTAACGCCTGTTTGATTATTGTCTGTTTTCTCTTCAGAGTTATTAAACGTAAAAGTTACCCCAAAGCATTCTACAGTGCTTTTTCCTTCTTCTCCAAACCATGAACGGACACCGTTAATAAGAGAGACCACCTCATAACAGTTCTTTTGCTTGATAGGTACCGCATTATCAAACAAAACAGTAAAGCCATAGTAATTAGTGATCTCTTGATGTTTTTCTTCCGAACTGTACACCCCTGATTTGTCTGCAACAAAGGAGCCACTCACAGTATCGATCAATTCAGTTCTGACCGTGTAGGTGCTTCCCTTGCGGCCAAAATGCTCCACTCCAATTAAATAAATGTCTTTGTTTACCGTGAAACAGATGCGGTCAAATGCGGTACCCCCGTACCCCCAAGGACCATATCTGGCCGGTTCTCTAAGAGAAAGAAATCGATGACAAGTACCGGCGACGAGCCCCGTCCTTGGAGATGCCGAGAACTGCAAAGGAGAAGTTAACATACCGTTATAGTGTTTCAACAAGTCAAAAATTTCCTTCGTTGTCAAAATGTTGTTTGGAACAACGGAAAGAAACTCCTTCGGTGACATCAGTGGGAACCGTATGGCGTTCAACAATTCCTCTCCAATAATTCTTCTTTTTGTTTCTCCATCAGGATTTAAACCTTGTCTTTTGATTTCTTGCGTTACCCACCGATTAACGGCCATGGACAGTTCTGCTTCCTTCACGTTCAATATTTTCTTCTTCACAACAGATTCAACTAATGACCGTTCAAGCGTAACAAATTCATCTGACGTCACAGCTTCCTCTGTATGCTCCTCGATCACTTCCCAGCATCGGTTTGCCAAATCTTGATCATCAAATTTCTTTGCATGCGGCAGAATTGCGAACACATTAGATGCCTCCAGGTTTTCTTGAAGATAATCACCGCACTTTTCTGCGAGCGACGGCAGCATGTATTTTTTTGCCAAGTAAAGAACATGCATTACATTACTTCCGGTTAATTTCACAACATCGGTGTACAAATAACGAAACAGCTCCAACAGACTCTCGTACTCACAGTCGGGTAATTCAATAGAATTTTTAGTCTCCGCCATTTCACCAAAGAACATGGCATAGAATACAGGACTGCCGATTGCAAGAACAAACTTGTGAGCTGGAATCATCTTCTGGCTTTCGCTTTCGCTATTCGACGCGGGAACGATAAACTTTACATCGCTCAACAACTCGTTGTTAAAGATGAACCTTGTTCTTTCGCTGATCGTCAAACATTTTGTTTGCCAGTGATCATCGACCATTTGGCACATATATTTCTCGGCAGGACAGAGAAAAGTAACTCAGTGTAGAACTGTGTAGTGTTTGAAGCAAAACGCAGCTTTGGTATGGTTGGTCACGTGTCTAGCTGGGCCACCCCCAAGAATTGATGCACCGGACACAACACAAATAGTGGATGGTATACCTGTGGTACTACTAAAAGGTATTCTTTGTCCCACGTTATCTCCTATATTGAAACAATTTCCAAACGGAGACCTATAGTTTTAGGTCATATAAATTATAGCAAGACTTCCCTTCAACAGGTCAAGCAAAAAAAGAACAATGACCATTACTATTACACAACGAGCAAACTGAAGTACAAGATTCCATGTTTCCTTTCTCAGACTTTCCTGTAATAACTAATCATAACAGTAAAAAGCTGTTATAACTAATATTAACAGTAAAAAGGATAACTGAAAATATAGACGATAAGCTTACATTTGTTAATGAAGCTTTCCGACTGTGTCAAGACAAATGGTAAAATATATCAGCTTACAGGGGTAAAATGAACGGAAAGTCTCATGCTTCAGTCTCAGAAAAGAAATACAAAAAGCCACGATTTCAATATATGGGCACAACAGGTAACGAAGTCTCAGTTGTAAATTTATTTGCCTTACTTTATATTTTACAAGATATTTACAGGTCGTCTTTTAGCGATTAGACCGAGTCAAGAAGTAATCGAGCGATACAGTGAAGATGTACAAGTTAAGAGACATCAAATGGATGCTCATCGCGTTCTCTCAACCGTACGAGCAGCCACTGGCGTTATGTTAATATACAGGATCACGTGATAAAAGTTCAGTGATAATATAGTTGGGAACAAACCATCTTGGGAAGCCTTTTCAATCCTTCTTGAATCGACTCAAAATCGAGTTTGTGGGTCTGGGTAGAGGATGCCTTCGCGATCGCGAAAGTCAATGTTTATAAATATAAAGTGAGTGCTGCGCGTGTACGACCATGGATAATAAGAACGACGTCTTTCTATTATCCATGGTACGACTTAGCCAATTCAAGATTTTTTTTAGTAGAAACTAACATTTTTCACAGCCGGATCAGTATAGGCTCGATTACCAGCCGCTGTTCGGGAAAATGAGCCCGCACTCATCCCCCGAAAGAGCTCTCTTCGGGGAGGATCAAAGACCGGACCCGGGAGACGGCGGAAATCGAGCCTAGATCAGTAGGGAATGGTGCATCCCTGTACCAGGCGTGAACGACGTATTCGTCAGTGCAACTTTGCTTGCTTAGCATTCCAGCAGCGCAATAGCGACTTTAAGATCCAACGACGCGACGGCAATGAGAACGTCGCTTAAAAAGTGAATTTGAATTCTTTCAGTCTTTATCGTAATTATTCCTACCCACTTACTTTGTCAAATGTAGGCGAACCTTCCCGGAATTGAATTCCTCGGGACCATATCCAGTTTCAAAAAGAGAAATAAAATGTCGTCGTTGCTTGTTTATGTCCTACATAAAACGCGAAATTAAGCATTTTCACGTCGTAGTCGTGCAAAAACGGGCAAAGAAATGTACAAAAAAGTGTGATGCACGTGCATAGTTGTTGTTTTGCTTATAGAACCTATCGCTTTTTTGACGTTCTCTTTGCCGCCCGCGTCGTTGGATCTTAAAGTACCTAATATCACCCTCCTCGACGCTTCTCTTTTTTCATTTCCTTTCCGTCATACCATAAACTACCGTTTATAAGCCTTCCCACTTATACCCGGGGACCCCCATCCCCTCACCCACTTTCAGGCCCATCTAGATCTATCTGTAAACAAAAAAATACACTCGAATCTTAGCCCCTCGGGAGTGGAATTAATTTGATTTATTATGACGTTTAAAAGCTAAGACCCGTGTAAATGAAAAAATTATTTTGATAAGCACTACTATAGCTCTATTGCCGTTATAAGCCCCTCCGTCTATATTATCCCTGCTAAAACCCCTTGCGAAGATGAGTGTATTATGAGCGGCAGTTAACGGTGCATTGAGAATCGCTCGCTCTAAAACAAGTAACCAAAATTACGTAATTTACGTCATCAGTTTAAAGTCACTTGGGATTTTGGCCGCGCGATTTGAAAACCATTTTCAGGGCAAAATAGACTAACTTATGGCTCTTGCTTCCAATCAAAACATCTCAAACAACTAGAAAAGATCATGACTGAATAAACACAATTTTCGCTTCATATGGACTTTGAAGTTAAGAAAACTTACTAGTAAGCCTTTCCACTACAACATTTCACGACAAAATCAAATTGAACAGCCCCATAGGGCTTGCTTTGATTGCAGTATTCGACTCGACATTCGACTTTAATTTTATATTGCCTGTATATAGCCTTCTGATCTCTGCTTCACTGGATTTATCTTTCAATGTTGCATATAAAAGCACTCGGACTACGTAAATTGAGCCTAATGAAAAACAGTCTTTTGAACAGCGATTAAATGTACTAGTCGACGGTTCGAAAATCGACCTGGTGAACATTTTTTGAGTTCGATTTTTTCCGATTACCGGATTCAATCCTAATCAATCCATGGACTGAGTTCGATTGACTGGTTCGATTCGGTTCCGGATTCCCTACCACGAGTCAATTATCTGCTTCAAACAACAATGCAGGGAACTGGCCCATGTCAACGACTGTGCAGTTAGAATCAGTTTTCTCTTCAGAGTTACTGAACGTAAAAATCACTCCACGACATTCAACAGTTTTTTTTCCTTGATTTCCATACCACGAAGTATCACCGTTAACAAGAGAGACCACTTCATAACAGTTATTTTGCTTGATAGGTACCGCATCATCAAACAAAACAGTAAAGCCGTAGTAATTAGTAACCTCTTGATATTTTTTTTCTGAACTATACACCCCTGATTTGTTTGCAACACAGGAACCACTTACAGTATTGATCAATTGAGTTCTGACGGTGTAGGTGCATCTCTCGTAGCCAAAATGCCCCACTCCAATTAAATGAATGTCCTTGTTTACGGTGAAACAGACGCGGTCACTTTTACCCTTGTACCCCCAAGGGTTCCGAGGACCGTCCGGTTTTTTAAAACAAAGAAATCGATGACAAGTACCGGCGACGCTCCTCGTCCGTGGAGACGCCGAGAACTGCAAAGGCGACGTTAACATGCTGTTATAGTGCTTCATCAAGTCAACAATTTCCTTTGTTGTTAAAATGTTACTGTCTGGAACAACAGCCAGAAACTCCTTCTGTGACATAAGTGGGAACCGTATGGCATTCAATGCTTCCTCTCCAATAATTTTTCGTTTTGTTTCTCCATCAGGACTTAAACCTTGTCTTTCAATTTCTTTTGTTGCCCACCGATCAACGGCCTTAAACAGTTCCGCTTCCTTTACTTTCAATACTTCCTTCTTCACAACAGATTCAACTAACGACCGGTCAAGCGTGACAAATTCATCTGACGTCACAGCTTCGTCTGTATGCTTCTCGATCACTTTCCAACATCGATTTTTCAAATCTTGATCATCAAATTTCATCGTATGCGGCAGAATTGAGAACACATTGGATGCCTCCAGGTTTTCATGAAGATAAGCACTGCACTTATCAGTGAGCGAAGGCAACATGTATTTCTTTGCCAAGTACAGAACATGCATTACATTACTTCCGGTTAATTTCACAACATCGGTGTACAAATAACGAAACAACTCCAACAGACTCTCGTACTCACAGTCGGGCAATTCAATAGAATTTCTAGTCTCCGCCATTTCACCAAAGAACATGGCATAGAATACAGGACTACCGATTGCAAGAACAAACTTGTGAGCTGGAATCATCTTCTGGCTTTCGCTTTCGCTAATCGATACAGGAACGATAAACTTCACATCGCTCAACAACTCATTGTTAAAGATGAACGTTGTCCTTTCGCTGATCGTCAAACATTTTGTTTGCCAGTGATCATCGGCCATTTTACACATATATTGGTTGACGTGACAGAGAAAAATAACACAGTGCAGTGTAATGTCTTACGCAAAACGTAGCTTTAGTACGGTTGGTCACGTGATTGGATAGGTCACCCACCCCAAGAATTGATGCACAGGACGTAACAAATGTGGGTGGTATACCTGTGGTACACACTAAAATTATTTGTAATCACTTGCTTTGGCGTCAATAGGAAAAAGGATGGACTTGACTTTCTTTGTCCCACGTCATGTTGTATATTGAAACCATTTTCAAACGGTAATCTATAGGTTTAGGTCATATATAGCAAGATTTCCCCTTAACAGGTCAAGCACAAATACTCACGCCAAGTATGAGGTCTAAGGCTTGATTGTCACGCCTGGTAAAAATGTGTGAGCCATTACAGCATTAACTGTCTCATTTTATATTAATAATTTAAAGATAGCCTTTACTCTTGAAAAAAACATACTTTCCTGTAATAATAAATATTGATAATGAAAAGGATAAGCTCACATGTATTTTAAAATAACGTTTCCATTGTGAACAATGAACATTTCAATACAACTGCATAGTAACTTGCCTTGATAAATAATTTTAAATTTTCTATGTGCTTAAATATTATTTTAACATACATTTTTCAATTGTTTTCCTCTAATATCTTAAATGATCCCATGATCATTCTATAGCAGTGTGATCGCCTAAATCCAGTGAAAAATGAAATTAAAATATTATATTGTGACCTTCTAAATTTAGGTTACTATAAATATGACATTGTAAGTTCTCACAATTTCTTGAGCATGCACTTGCAGCCTTGAATAAAACAATCCACTCATTGTCACCTGCAAATGGAAATATAACTTTAGGTAAGACGTTGTGCCACAAACCAAACTTAACTCTGTTTAAGTCCATCTGCAAAACAGCGCCAAAATGCTTGTATTGTACCTCACAACTCAATCTATACCAGGATTTGAGTAAATGGTTAAATGTAAATGGCCTGTTAACATACTTGCCAACCTCTGGAGATCTAAAATCTGGAGACTCTCTATTTTGCACTGCACCCCCCCCCCCACCCCGGAATGTCAACTGCACCAACATCCCCACTGCCCCCCCCCCTCGCGCCAACAAATTGCCTTAGGACATAAGGTATATGACATCTTACATGACGTACATGGGATCAAAATGCGCTTTCATCATTGTAATGACGAACTAATCTTTGTCATTGACTAGACATGTGCAAAAATGTCCCAGAAACTGTACAATGAATTAAAAAAGTTCAAATTTTGTGAAACTAAATCACAGAAATGCTCAAAAGTCCATTTGATCCGGGAGATTTGGTGCTCTAACCGGGAGATCGGGAGATTTGATGAAAAACTTGGAGACTCCCGGGAAAACCAGGAGAGTTGGCAGGTATGTGTTAAAAAAGCCATTGCTGATTTGCCAATCAGGATGAAAGGAATAGAACTCAAAAACCCTTCTGTTAATTTGCTGCAATGAGTCCGTTGGGGGCACTGCAGAACAACAATCTCAAATAATGACCTCAAAGACAGTCACTGCATGCACTTTACATTAAAGAGAATTTACAGCTTAGCATCGGTAATAATTCAGCTCTCTAAACTTCATAGAAGAAAATAGACCACTACAAGTTTAAGGAAAGTGTTGCCTGATATCAAATTAAAATTAAAGTACAAGCACTCATACCAAATATAAGCACACGCAAACTATTTCAACGCACCCACCCAATAAAAATTACTGTAAGTTTACTGAGCCATGTTTTGCTGCTTCATAGACCAATCTAATTGTTAAACAATATTAATTGTCATACACCAGTTAAATTATTAAACGATGTACTTGTAATAATTATTGGTGTAGCTGCAAAATGCAATAGGGTTGCATAGCAGCCTATCAATGGCTCCGGCTACTCTAGCTATTTCTAATTAACCACTTCTTTGAGTGACAGGTTGCTAAATTTAAATCCCCACCTGGTATTGATATCAATTTTATACTAACGGACATTGTTTTAACAAAAGCAGCTTAACTCTGATCTGAGGATATATCACAGCTCAATAGACGTAATTTATAATTGTGATTCCAGTAAAATATAAGCTGATGTCTGTTTATCGCCATAACATTTTAAGCTTTATGCCTTCTACTGAATGTTGTCATATATTTTTGGGCAAGTCATTTGCTATGCAAAATATTCCATGTGGTACCTTGAAATCCATTTACTACAGCTATACTATTCCCCTATATTACTATATATAATTTTAATTGCCACCACTTAATTAGTATTTTTCTGTTGCAGGTATTTACCCTAAAAGTTTTTTCAAAACTGCTTTGATATCAATATACTTTTTAATTTTTTAAATGACACTAAATGTCTTGTTCTTTGATATCTGTTTGTATAAAACATCCAAGTTCCTATACTGAGGTCGGTCACGATGAGGTGACAAATATTATTTTTGCCCCTCACCCAACCAAAATACCTGATAGGACTTTTCTTTACAAAGAGGCAAACTGTGCAATTTTGAGAAAAATAGGACAGGTGGTCTGAGCCAATCAAATATGCTAGGAAATACAATATAGCCAAAGCAAACAAGCCAATCAGCGCTAAGTCCCTGTAACAACGCACCACAAAATTGTTGACAGCTGTTCTTCTGCAAATTAACACTCTTGGCTTCTTGATGCTGTCGATGTTGCTTTGTTTTGCTGCTGTTTTGTTCTGGCTTCTTGTCTGGGCCATTTAAAAGGAAAATGTAAGACCAAACAGATGAAAGTTTGCATTGAAAAAAATTAACAATTCTTGAAAATGTAAACAAGCACTTAAACTTTGGACAAGAATAAGAAAACACTGATAGTTGTGTTTAGAATTGTAGGCATTACAAAACAAAAGGACAAAGTCTGCGGAATCATTAATTTTGAGGTAACGAATGAAATGTTTACTTTTAATAGTGTGTCCAACAAGAAAGCTCTTGCTACTTTGGACACTGTACACAATGAACTTAATGTCTTTTGGTTAATTATTATTTACCAGGGGCGGATCTATGGGGAGGGTGCAAGGGGTGCGCACCCCCGGCCCCCCCCCCTCCGAGATGACCTGCAGTTTTCTAATACAACTGGTATTCGGCAAAAAAAAAAAACTATGTGGTTAAAGGAACAGTATCCTGGTTACTGCGCATGCACCAAACTTTGATTTATGGACAGGATGTCGCGAATGTCGCGAAATCAAAAGATGCGAGGAGAGTAAGAGAATCTTGAAAAATCCGTTTGCATCGCGCTTGGCCGGGTTCAATACGACACTAAAACTTCTCAGGATTATAGATCAATGATATATTGTTCCTGTTAAGTTTCGATTTGGGCAAAATCTGGATTTTTTGGCTTACTTTTATTGCCGTTGGCCGGAGGACCAGAAGATTGGAAGCACTTTGATGCCGATTGAAGGCTTATTTCTTCTGCTAGCTTCCATACAAGCTCAGATAATTGTGAAAGGAATACGCAGAAATGAAACAGCAACAATAAAGACTGTAAGAAAGAAACCGTTGAGACATTGATGTGACTGAGGAGATCTTGTGGAGGGGAGCTTCGTGAAGCAGAATGTTTTGCAACGACGCGTTAGTAAACTTTTAAATGAATCTCCCTACGGCCGACAAAATCGAACAAACAGGCGCTACACGTTTTGAAAAACTAGTGACATGAAATCATAATATCATTTTTGACTAACCTTTGTGATGATTCATAGCGTTGAGATTGCATTTTTATTTATGTCTTTCAAACGTTTGAGGCTAGAACGCGAGCAAATCAGGCAGATGTTACTGGACTTGGAGCGATTGACCTCTGACACAAGTTTCAAATTAGAAAATATGTTTTTAAAGCGAGCGGAACCAGATTTTCGGGTCGCGAGGCGGTCCAGCTAGCGATAAAATTGCGATGAGTCTTCGAACCGCCAGCCAAATTTTTATATAAGACAAAAGACTTCTTTGAAAGTCTAAAATATTACTTGAGAATATAAACAACAAATTTCTGTCGGAGGTGCGGTCCGGAAGGAAATCTTGTCGAGTCAATTTGACAGTTCTATTGTCTTTTGAAGAAAAAACAGATGACGCTCGCACGCGCGCATAATCGGGACATGCACTGTCCCTTTAATTGGTGTTGAAGTAGAGCAAGAGACGAGTGCATCCCCTCCAAAAAAAAATCCTGGATCCGCCCCTGTTTATCAGCTACATTATTTTCCTCCCTACCTTAACACTTATGTAATTATCTTATATAGTGTGAAATAAAGAATTTGAATGAATTTCCATGTTTAAATTAAGTATTTGCATTGTTGCTTTGTCTTCTTTTTACTCAACAATTGCGGTTTTCACATGTGGCACCGTATCACTGGAGGAGCGTAATTTTGAAATTTATACTTCACGACTACAAAATGCCAAAGATGAAAGTAAGAAAGAGCCATACAATTTCTACGTTTGTTACTTGTAACTTAGAATAAGTTGACACTTTTTTAGATCTTAATTGCAGTGCAATTTTGTTTCGACTACAAAATCGTGTCATCTATGACATGCTACAAAATCCGGGTTAACTAATAACCAGCTATATAATATTATAAGATAAGAGGACTATGCTTCTAACAAGCTAGTAACATTCTTTTAATGACTACCTAATTTACCTCAGTTGTGTGGCAAAATATCCACAACTAAATAACACTGCTAATTTTAAGGCTGCCGTAGTGACTCCAGATCACTTGGATGCAGCTTCTTGAAACTTGAAAGTCTGGTTAAGACAAGTCTATGTATTTGTTTGTACTTGGTGAATCTTTTTTCTTAATTCACTGTCTTGATGTAATGGCAAAATGATACCAAGGTGTTTTATTTAATATTAAGCCAACTGCATGAGAATGAAATGAAGCACCTTCCGTCATTAAAAATTGTACATGATCCATTAAAATGCCATGATTAATAACACTGACTGCCATGGGACAAAATAATGATAAACAAATCCTATGATACACATTCCA